CCCAAGTTAACTCCTATGATCCATACAGTAAATAACAACTGTCTGTAACTTCAGTTACTGGATCTGATGGCTTCTGCTGCACTCAGTTAGCACTGCATGACTGTGGCACACAGTACATACATATACGTGTGTACAGATCTTTATGATTTCTACAGTTTTTGTTTTGTGTTTTGTTTTTCAAGACAGGGTTTCTCTGTGTAGCTTTAGAACCTGTCCCAGAACTGTTTTTATAGACCAGGCTGGCCTCAAACTCAGATTTGCCTGTCTCTGCCTCCCATGCTGGGATTAAAGGCATACACTACCACCTCCCAGCTTTTTACATGTATTTCTGATAATTTTCTTAAGATAAATTCCTAATTGGCTCAAAAGGAAAGCATGAAGACTTTAGTCACTATAGTCAAATTGCTTTCTAGGTAAATTGGGTCCCTGTGCTCTGCTGGGCTGCAGAGTCTCGGAGTCTTGTGTATTGTAAAACCTTAGTAGAGAAGAGCCATTCCTCAGCCAAAATGACTGAGGGGGGAAGGGCCTTAAGACTTGTCCCCTGGGTTGCTGCAGCTGAGGCACTCCTTTCCCTGTAGTAGTGGCTGTGTGCACGGTAAACACCCACAAGAACAGATTTCTGTGAAGATCTGTTGGAGGAACAAAGACAGAAAGGGGCCTTCGTGTGGACACAGTCGAAGCTGACTGAATGGGAGTATTGAATGCCAAGTTCACAGCTGAGATGATAATAGGGTCCAGCCTATGTTGGGCCTCGAGGGCACAGCTAAAGTACAGAATCTGCTGAAGGAGTGGCTGCTGCCTGTTGAAGGAGTGCCACTTTCATTGAGTACCTTGGGATGGTTCCCAAGGTAACTTGTTCTGTCCCCCCCACCACACTAGCAGAGAGATAATTGCTAAGTGAGTTGGAGGAAACAAGGGATCATTAGATGAGTTCAGAGCAGAGGCCCAGAAATGCTCAACAGGAAGTGTCTCCTGAAGTCTGACTTCTGTCTGCATTTCTCCAGCTGGAGGATCTAGAAGTTACTGTGTCTGATCACATCCAGAAAGTTATGAAAGTGAACTTTGAAGCAGCCTGGGATGAGGTCGGGGATGAGTTTGAGAAGGAGGAAACATTTACCCTGTCTACCATCAAGACACTTGAAGGTAAAATGCTGGTGATACCTGGCTGCTTTTCAGAACCCTCAGCTATTGTACTGTAGCTGCCATGTGCCTCCCCTCTTCCCACCAAGAATCCAGGGCCATGTCTAGAGCATACATGCTGAGTGTGGTGGCATAGACACTTGGTGGGGAAGTGCATGCTTAGTATGGATGAGGCCCAGGATTTAATTAGTACCCAACAAAATAGACAGACAGACATGCACCCATGACTTACTAGTGCTGGGGTTTCTTCCTACAGAGGCTGTGGGCAATATTGTGAAGTTCTTGGGAATGCATCCTTGTGAGAGGTCAGACAAAGTGCCAGAAAACAAGAATACTCACACGCTGCTGCTAGCTGGTAAGGAACATCTGTGGGGAGGGCCTGGGTAATTTTACAGGTGGGAATGCCATTGGGTGTAGTCCTGGCCTGGGCTTATCCTTTATCCTATAAGACTGGCTGCACTGGGCATGGCATGGTGGCTTAGCATTTCTCCCTGACTGGTGGTCTCTCTCTCTCTCTTTTTTTTGGTTTTTTGAGACAGGGTTTCTCTGTGACTTTGGAGGCTGTCCTGGAACTAGCTCTTGTAGACCAGGCTGGCCTCGAACTCACAGAGATCCGCCTGCTTCTGCCTCGTGAGTGCTGGGATTAAAGACATGCGGTCTACTGCTGGTCTCTTGAAGCAGCACCTAAAGCAGCATTGGGGATCCAGATGTCCCCAGTGGGTCCAGGATCTAACATTGGGATCCAAATGCCATCTCCTTAGTCCCCATTGTAGTTTTAATGTGAGTTTTTGCATTTTGAATGAACTGTCTTCCATTCATATTTCTTTTTCAGTTCCTTTAATTATCAACTTAATTGGTTGTTTTTTGTTTTTGTTTTTTCTAAGAAGAATGGGTATGGATCCTGGCCTGTAACTTCAATATCTGAGAAGCAGAGACAGGAACTTTTGTATATGCTTGAGGTCCAGGGCTCAAACGCCTAAGCAAAGCAAAACAAAAGATTGGCCGTTTAAGTATCTCGTCTTGGAAACTTTCAAACACTTACAAAAATTAAATCGTGCTTATAATGAACACTAACTGTCTTCCCACACTCAGAGCAGCTGTGCCCACTCTTCCCCAGAGTATTCTCATGCAAATTATTTGTGTAATTCATGTGTAAATACTTGATATCCGGTGTTTAACATAAAAAAGGCCATAGATTGACAGTTGTGAAGATGTAGCTGGAGTTAAGGAGATTGAAGCTAGGCAAGGCAAGTGTTCTACCTTTAAGACACACCCAACCTTGGTTTTTTGGGGGGAGGGCTGGTTATTTTGTGGGTGTGAGGCGAATGTGTTTACAAACAGGAATAGGAAGATGTTCTGCTTCAGTGCGAGCACACAGCTCACTGCCACCAGGCTCACACCTCTGGCCCTGATGAGGCCACTGAGTCCCCTGGGTCTGTCAAACACCTGCTTTGTGGTTTTTCTTATTAGGCTTCTCCCCCTCGTCAGCACTCTCAGATTCAGCCACCGTGTGAACCTCTAACATGAGGTTCTAACATAAGAATTCACATCCCTGCGCTCACTTGAACTCACAGAGATCAGCCTGCCTCTTGCCTCCCTAGTGCTGGAATCAAAGGCGTGGCCACAACACCCTGCTAATAGTTAAGGGTTCCAGAGGTCAAAGAAGCAGTGAGATTTGCCCAGGCCTCCCAACTGTGCCTCAGCATGGAGGCTGTCTAGGGTCAGTTGCCACATGTGTCACCCTTAACGTAGCCTCCACAGCCCTTTCAGCCTCACAAAACCCTGCTTCCTTTCTCTCCTTCCAGGTGTGTTCCGGGGTGGTCATGACATCCTTGTGCGCGCCAGACTTCTGCTTTTGGACACAGTGACAATGCAGGTGACAGCGAGAAGCTCAGAGGAGCTGCCAGTAGACATCATCTTGGCATCGGTGGGCTAAAGGCTGGCTTAAGCAGGCCCTGCTCCTGCCTTTTTCCAATACTACGTTGAAGTAGCTTCGTCCCCATGAAGCCAGTGGAAACCCTTCCCCACGTCTCTGTATTCAGAAACAATCACGAATTAATACAGATTTTTAAAAATTCCATCCTATAACCCAGGAATGCTAGGGTAGATTTTTTTCACCTTGCCTGCAAGAAGCTATCACAAATGAATAAAATGTTCAGATTTTCTCACATATTTATCCCCAAAGAAACTGTCTTATCCATATAATAAGTCAGCATGTACTCCTTACAGCTACTTCTGCAGGCTTGTGCTCGGGGCCTCCATTTCTCCCAGAGGCCTTCTTCACCAAGTGGAGCGTGCAGGTACCCCCTTGGGGCTGTCAGTTCCAAGCGTAGAATGGGGATAAAGGCTGAGAACACCTAGCAGGTCTGATGACGCACTCATCCTCTGGTGTTAGATGGATGGGTCTCCAAAGAGCTGAGGTCCTTCAACAGGTGTTCCCTGATGAACTCTGAATCGGGGTGTGTCCAGAGTGTCTGCTCTGGGTCAGTCTGTGAGTGGGAAGAACAGTCTGTGTTCTCTTTTGGCTGCAGTAAGAAATCCTAGTGTATGCCCCAAGGGTCATGGGCTTTAAACTCAAATCAGGAGGTTTTACACCATTAGAAACACCAGTAGAATTTTTAAAGGAGTGGACCTCCTCTGGGGGCTATTGAGATGGCTCAGCAAATAAAGACGCTTGCCAAGAGTGACTACCCACATGGTGGGGAGAGAGCCGTTTCCCAAAAGCTGTCCTCTGACCTCCTCATGCACACTGGTATGCAGTATGCCCATGCACATATACATGTGCATATTAGAACATATGCCTGCACCTTTAGACCAACCCCCGCAACCCGAAGTGATTGGGCCACACCTGAGCATAGTTAAGAAGCTGTCTGTGCTGTGGCCTAACAGTAACTCATGATTTATGGTCGTGGCTCCTCCATGTGCTTGGTGATGCCTGCCTGCTGTGTTTAACTAAATCACGTGATGTGGAATTTCCTATCACCCTTAAGAGGTTAAAAAGGGTCAGACTTCTCATTTGTTTGGGGGGGATTTGCTCATGAAGGCTGCTCCTTGAAGACATTCCTCTGCCCCACCCCTCCTCCATGCCTCTCCTGGGGATGCTTTGGAGCAGCACTCTTGCCTGGCCTCTCCCTCCCTCCTGCCTCCCTTTCTCCCCCCTTCCAGCCCTTAAAAAGGGCCGCTCCAGGCTTTAAAGGAAAGCCTGTCCTTTATACCCCATCATACTTAGATGTTCATTGTTGTGTTCTTTCTGCCTACCATCCCCAGGCCTGATCGCAGCCTGGAGGTCATTCCCTTCTAATAAACCTCACTAAAGGGAAGTGTGTGTCAGCCTTCTTTTGTGAAGAAACTGCTGTCGTTTTTTTATTTAAAGGTACACACACACCCCACACACAAAACAAATGTTAAAAAGGAAACAAAGTGGGACTTCCTGACCCTTAAAGGGTTCTATGTGGCCATCCACGATTGAGGGTGACTTGAATGACTTGGGAAGCAGAGCCGCTTCCTGGTTTCAGGTTCTAATCTGGGAAGGAGGAAACATGGGGTCTCCTTGAGTGCTTGTCTCAGGGGTGTGTGTTTTGTTTTGTTTTGCTTTATGAGGGCGCATCCCTGGAATTTGGTGTCTAGCATGTATCATGGCTCAGCTCATCAGGGAGCCAAACCCGCGCCCCCACCTGTGCGGAGGAAAGCCCGATGGCTCTTACGTCACGTCAGGGGCGGGGCCTACTGTCGCAGGGGGCGGGGCGGGTGTCCCCTTAGGAGGACGCCGGGCTCGCTGGCTGGCGGATTCGATCCATGGGCGGTAAGGAGATCCGGGCGCTCGGGAGGCGGGCTCCTCCAAGGGGATGCGGGCGGAAGAGAGGGCCGCTCCGGGCAACAGCAGGCAGGCTGGCGGAGGACTCGGTCCCGCCGAGGGGACGCGGGCGGGCTGGCGGAGGAGAAGGCCTGGCCGAGGGAACGCGGCCGTGAGGAAGAGAAGGCCTCGCTGAGGGGACGCGGGCGGGCGGAGGACCCGCCAGCTTCTTAGCCGGGACTCAGCGTGGGTCAGGCCCCGCCCCTGGAGCAGAGCGGGCGCGCGCAGGGCGGTAGTGCGGTCTCTGCGGCTAAGTGTGGCTGGTGTGAACGCAGAGAGCGTTCGCCTGCCTTTGCTGACACATTAGTACATGGAAATAAACCCCGGGGCGAACGGCTTCCTCCCCTAACACCCGAAGCCTTGCAGCTGGACTGTGGGCCTTGCAGTGACCGCGACAGGCTGATCCTGTCCTAATGGACCCTCCGTGAAAGATGTGGCATCGGAGGATCCTGCGGGAATGGCAGGGTGGACGCTGTGACCTAGGGAGTAAAGACTTAAGCTTTGTGACTTTATAGGTCTGAGAGGCAGCGCTCAAGATGTGCGGACGAACATCCTGTCACCTGCCTAGAGATGTTCTCACAAGAGCCTGTGCCTATCACGATCGCCAGGGCAGGCAGCGGCTCCCGCAGTGGAGGGACCCGGATAAGTACTGCCCCTCTTACAACAAGAGCCCTCAGTCGAGCAGCCCGGTGCTTCTCTCCCGACTGCACTTTGAGAAGGTAAGGACTGTCAGCATGGCACTAGCTTCTGGCACAGAGTTGTGGTGGTCCTCTAGTTCCTGATTTCTTTGAAGTCTGACCAGCCTGTGGGATAATCTTGAAAGCAGCCCTAGCTGAAAACCACTCTGGACCTTGGTAAGGAGTTAGTCTCAAACTGCTTTAATGCTGCCCAATTTATATGACCCTCATATTTGAATACATTTAAAAATTCTCTTGATTTATATGTAGCCCTGACTGTCCTGGAACTTACTATGAGAACCAGGCTGGCTTCAAATTTACAACAAATCTCTTACCTGTGTCTCCAGAATTCCGTATTACAGGTGTATGTCACTCTACCAAGCTTGAATCTTCTTTTTTTATTTAGATAGCAGGCTTCAAATATTACTGATTTATCGGTGTCATCTTTGTCTTTAAAAAAACAATAACAAAAGAAAAAAGAAAGAAAGAAACACCCAAGCGTGGTGGTGCACACCTTTGATCCCAGCACTAAGCAGGCAGAGCTCTGTGAGTTGAAGGCCAGCCTGGTCAACACAGTGAGTTCCAGGTCACTCAAGGCTGCATAGTGAAGCTGTCTCAAGAAAAGTGATTTGGGGGGCTGGAGAGATGGTTCAGAGGTTAAGAGCACTGAGGTCCTGAGTTCAAGTCTCAGAAACCACATGGTGGTTACAAACATCTGTAATGAGATCTGGTGCCCTCTTCTGACCCGCAGGGATACATGCAGACGGAACACTGTATACATAACAAATAAAACTTAAAAAGAAAGAAGTGATTTGGGAACCTGTGAAAGGACCCAGTGGGTGAGAGTGCTGCCAGACCTGGCAGCCTGAATTTGATCCCTGAGCCCTACGTGGTAGAGGGAGAGACCCAGCTCCTGCAGGGTGCCCTCCGAGCTCCACTCCCACTCTGTGGCAGAGAGTGGACACATAACACAAATAAAGAAAAATTTAAGCCGGGCAGTAGTAGTACATGCCTTTAATCCCAGCACTCGGGAGGCAGAGACACATAGATCTCTGAGTGTTCAAGGCCGGCCAGGTCTACAGAGCAAGTTCCAGGACAGGCTCCAGACCTACACAGACAAACCCTGTCTCCAAAAAAAGAAAAGAAAAAGAAAAAAAATTAATGTGATTGAGGCTGGTAATGTTGCTCAGTGATATAAAGCCCATTTCATATCCTCAGAGTCTTTGGTTCAGTCCTAGCACATAAAAAGTATTTTTATCTTAAAAAAATTTAAACAATTTTTAATATATACAAATGTTTTGCCTGCCTGCATGTATGTATGTGCAGCAGGAGTGTGCCTGGTGCCCTCTGAAATCAGGGCTTCAGGTTCCCTGGAGCTGAAATTATAAAAGGCCACTGTGTGAGTGCTTGGAATTGAACCCAGGTCCTCTCCAAGAGCATCAAGTGCCCTTAACTGCTGAATAGACCCTGGTTCCTCTGCAGTGGGTGGATTTGGGGACAGGAATAGGAAAGTGGGGTCTCTAGCAAACATAGTCCTCCTTTTGAGTCACTTGAGTTTGCCCATGTAGTGCTTGACTGAACATCTGTAATACTATTTGTTTGGATTGCTAGGTTTTCTTAATTTGCTAAGTATTTGATACTTTATTTTTCTCAAACCTATGAATTCTTAAGCAAAATTAGGAGCATTTCAGCAGTTCAACTGCCACTGTACATGTATAGATAGCAATATTTGTATTTGAAACCACTGATTTGCATAGTACTTCCTCTTTTGTTTTTCAGTCTACCACCGTGCCCCCAGCCACTTTGTATCTGTCGCCCTAGTGTTTGGGTTGGTTTGTTCAATGATGAAAACACAAGGTGACCAATAGAATTTGTGAGAACAAGATTTTTCAACCAAGACATCACTGATTTTTTTTATTATATTTATTTTTACATGAGTATGTGGTTTTGCCTGAATGAGAGACTGCATCACGTGTGCGCAGTGTCTGTGGAGGTCAGAGTAAATCACTGAACTGAAGTTAACAGACACTTGGGAGTCACCATGTGCATGTTGGAAATAAACCCTGGTCCTGTAGAGTAGCAGCCAGTGCTCTTACCCACTGAACAATCTCCCAGATCCATGCCTTACATCTTAATGGGTGGGATAATTCTTTGTTGTAGGGAGCGGTTCAGCACATTGTAAAATGTTTAGCAGCCCCCTGGCCTCCGCCCACTAGATGCCTATAGCAGTCTCAAGCCAGAAAAACAAAATGTCCCCTAGCATTACCTGAAGTGTCTGAAGGCTTGTAGGTGTTGAGCATTGACTTTACTGTTTGATTAAAGCCCCGTATCAGGTAAGGAAAGGGAAAACAGAATAATCCCAAAATGCCATCCAGAGATTAGCCTTAGAAACTGGCCTCCTAAGAATAATAATCTTCGGGCTGGAGAGATGGCTCAGAGGTTAAGAGCACTGACTGCTCTTCCAGAGGTCTTGAGTTCAATTCCCAGCAACCACATGGTGGCTGACAACCATCTACAATTCAATCTGCTGTATATGTAATAAATAAATAAAATCTTTAAAAAAATAATAATCTTCGGCCTGCTGCATTAACTTATGTGCAAAATTAATGCTCTGGGCATTCCTGGTGTGAACTCTACTCATCTCACTTAGTGTCTGTTCTGCCATTTCTGGTCTATGTCCAGTACCTTTGAGACCCAGATTAAGAACCTCCACCCCGTGCCTTCTCTGTTCTCTCTCACGGACCACATTCCACTGCACATATCTGACCCTTAACCTGTGGCTCTTACATTATGACTCAGTTTCATTTTTCTATTGTGTGGCACAGAGAGGGTGGGTGTGTGTTAAGAAGTGCTGGAGGCACTTCTCTTCTTCTACCATTTGGGTTCCAGAGGCTAGAGTCGGGTTGTCAGACATCTTTTCTTACCAGCCCACAACCCCGATGTTTCTTTGTCTGTGTGGTTTCATATTCAACTACAGGCTCCTTTTTTGAAACAGGGTCTCAGTATGTAGACCAGGCTGACCTTGAACTCACAGAGATCTGTCTGCCTCTGCCTCCCAGGTGCCAGAATTAAAAGCCTGTACTACCATGCCCAGCTGACTTTTCCCTCTTAATAACCTATTGTTTGTATTTCATTAACTTACAATAATGTATATAATGATTATGGTCTTCCTGCTGTATCTGAGCCTGCATTTGTTTTTTTGTTTAACTACACTATATAATATGAAAATAATTGTTTTTATTTATTCATATAAAATATACAATATAAAAATAATTTTGTATACATATGATATGTAATATAAGTAGATTAAAATAGTTGTATTTTTATATCTTGCTCAACCTTTTGTTTTTTAAATTTACGTGTGTGTTTATGTATCTGTTTGAGTGTATGCCAGTGGAAGGAGAGTCTCCCCACAGCTAGGGTTACATGCAGTGGTAGCTGCTAAGAACTTAACTCGGGTCCTCCAGAAAAGGAGCAAGTACTCCTAACCACTGCATCTTCTCTCTAGCGCTTGAGCCAGGACTTCTATATGTAGTCCAGGGTTGCTTAGAACTTGCTCTGCAGCCCAAGCTGACCTTAAATTAGCAGCAATCCTCCTACCTCAGCCTTTTGAATGCTGGGATTACAAGTATACACCAGCAATCCAGGTGCTAAATCTGAACTTTTTTCCTCTGGTAGGATGTAGACTCATCAGAGCGGATAATTATTCCCATGCGATGGGGCCTGGTTCCATCTTGGTTCAAAGAAAATGATCCTTCCAAGCTGCAGTTCAACACTACCAACTGTCGTAGTGATACCATAATGGAGAAGCAATCATTCAAGGTAGGTAACCTGTCTAGGGAAAGGGCACTTCTTTCCAACGCTGTTTAGTATTTGGTATACCTGATAAAGTTCCAAAGGATATTCCCAAGTGTTAATGTTGAGTTCTGTTCATTTATTGCTGTGTTCCAGACTAACAATGCCCAGAATTACTGGGTATGGTGCTTTGAAGCAGAGTGGTTCCCATAGGCTCCCAATACTTGGTCCTACTTGGTAAAACTGGTTAAGAAGGATTAAGAGGTGTGGCCTTGTTGGAGGAGGTTTGTCACTGGGGCGTAGCTTTGAGGTTTCAAAAGCTCATGGCACTCCCAGTTAGCTCTCGCATTTTTTCTGTCTGGTGGGCGGTTGTGCCTCAAGCTACAGTAAGCTCTCAGCTGCTACTCTAGTACCCTGCCTGCTGCCGCGTGCCCCACCATCATGTCATGGGCTCACCCTCTGAAACTGTAACCCTCCAACAGGACCCTTTCTTCAGATTGCTTTAGCCATGGTGTCTTATCACAGCAATTGAAAAGTGATAAGACACACACTTTTTTTCAGTAAGTTGTCTTGGCCATGATGGTTTATCACAGCAGTTGAAAAGTGATCTAAAACAAAAACAATTGGCCCAGTGTGGTTGCATACACCTTTAATTCCAGCACTTGGGAGACTGAGGCCAACTGATCTCTGTAAGTTTAAGGCCAACCTGTTCTTCATAATAAGTTCCAGACCAAGCAGAGGTATACATTGAGACCTTAATCTCAAAGTGGAGGTAGAGGTAATAAATGGAAAGTTTCCTGGGTAAAGTACCTGCTACCAAAGCTAATAACCTGACTTCAGCCTCCAGAAAATCAATGGAAGAGGGAGCAACAACTCCCACAAATTGTCTTCTGATTTTCACATGCCCATGGTGGCATGATCAGCCCTTTCTCCACCCAGAGTAAATAAAAGTAAAAAAAAAAAATTAAAGACAAATAAACAATTATTCCATATATTGTGGACTAATTATACTTAGCAAGGCAGTTTTTACTGGGAATATATGATGTACTTACCAGGCTGGGCATAGATAACTATGGTGGTTGTGCTGGCTAGTTTTTTGTTAGGTTGATACAAGCTGGGGTCAGCTGGGAAGAAGGAATCTCAATTGAGAAAACACACCATCAGCAGCTTCACCTATAGGCATATGGGGCATTTTCTTTTTCTTTTTTTTTCTTTTTTCTTTTTGGTCTTTTGAGACTGGGTTTCTCTGTATTGTTTTGGAGGCTGTCCTGGAACTCACTCTGTAGACCTGGCTGTCCTGGAACTCACAGAGATTCCCCTGCCTCTGCCTCCCGAGTGCTGGGATTAAAGGCATGAACCACCAATGCCCAGCTCATATAGGGCATTTTCTTGATCAGTGATTGGTGGTCCTGGGGTGAAAACATGCTAGCTCATAGAGGCTGAGGAACAACTAGCTGGTCTACCCTCTTCGCCAGAGTCTCAGAAAGAGAGCCTCTCCCATTGCTCCAAACCAAAAGGCACTGCCTCACTCAAAGTTTCTCCCTTCTACTTCCTGAGCATCTCTCGACTGGGTTTCAGGATTCCCTTTGACTTTTTTTTTTTTTTTTTTTTTTTTTTTTTTTTCGAGACAGGGTTTCTCTGTGGCTTTGGAGGCTGTCCTGGAACTCCCTTGGCAGTCCAGGCTGGTCTCGAATTTACAGAGATCCGCCTGCCTCTGCCTCCCGAGTGCTGGGATTAAAGGCGTGCGCCACCAACGCCCGGCCTCCCTTTGACTCTTGATGTTTACTTTCTGTCAACCAATTGCTGGCTCCACCTCCTGACTCAAGGTTGATTTTATTTAATTAATGCAAATGCAAACTCAGGGTTCACAGTGTAATCATATATCCCAAAACATAAACATGTGGCACACAGAAATAAATGTATTTTTTTTAATGAATGTTGCTGGGCAGTGGTGGCCTTTAATCCCAGCACTCAGAAGGCAGAGGCAGGCAGATCTCTTGGGCTAGCCTGGTCTACAAAGCTACACAGAAAAACCCTGTCTTGAAAAAACAACAACAACAAAAAAGTCTAAACCCATGTGTAGTGTTGCATGCCTTTTAATCCCAGAACTCAGGAGGTAGAGGCAGGCACATCTCTGTGAGTTCAGGGCCAGCCTAGACTACATAATGAGTTCTAGGACATGCATAATAAGATACTATTTCTCTTTTAAAAAAATGCTTGAGATTTGAGGTACAGAGAAATTTAATTCCTCTAGGTATGTAGCTCAGTGGTAGTGTACTTGCCTGAGTTCAGTCTCCACCAAGCACTTTAAAAAAGATAAAGGGTAGCTCCTCTAGGTCACACATGAGATCTGAGTGTTTTGCTTTATATGTATATACACACATACATTTGATGTGGTTCTGAAGGTGGAACTTATGACCTTATACATGCTAGGTAAGCCCTCTATCACTGAGGTACAGTGCTGAACCTGAAAGTCCATGTAATGGAATCCTGTCACTATGACCATAACCTGTTTAATTCTCTCTCAGGTTCCTCTGGGAAAAGGACGACGCTGTGTTGTTTTAGCAGATGGATTCTACGAGTGGCAGCGGTGTCAGGGAACAAGCCAGAGGCAACCCTACTTCATCTATTTTCCTCAAATCAAGACAGAGAAGGTATCAATCATCAGTTTCATAAACACCGTGTTTGGGAAAAACCGAAACAAATCAATTTCATATACCATATAGCAATGTTTGGGCAAACAATAGGATACATTGCTAGATAATCAGGGTGTGTTCAGTCCACTGTTAGCACAAAATTCCTAATGCCGCATTTCTCAGAACTATCTCATCATTAAGTTAATACATGTAATTTGTTTACTTTTGAGATTATATAATTATAACATTTCTCCCTTTCCTCCATCCAAACTCTACCATATACCCCCTCCACGTTTCATGGCCTCTTTTTCATTCTCATTGCATGCATGTATGTATATGCATGTATGCATGCATATACACACATATTCCTAAGTATAATCTGCTCAGTTCATATAATGTTATTTATGATAAATGTTTTCAGTGCTGACCACCTGGCACTAGACAACCCGTTGCTGTGCTCTTCCTGGGAATGATTATTTCCCCATTTCCAGCTTTCCTCAATTACTGTTGTGTTTGTGTAGACTTGAAGCCTTGTGGGCTTTTCCCCCATCTACTTTGGCATGTCTATTGGTGTCCTAGTTCAGCTCACATTTCAGCAGTCTTGGTGCTGAGCCTTTACGGGTTTAGTTTGTGACATTATTAGGAGATACAGTCTCATAGCCAACTCCCAATCCTCTGGCTTTTATAATCTTTCCACCCTCTCGTCTCCAGAATTCTCAGCCTCAGGGGCTGGAGTGTTTTATAGATGTATCCATTGAGACTGGGCTCCACAAGTCTTCATTTTGATTGGTTGTGATTTTCTGTAATGGTCTCTGTTACAAAAAGTTTCCTTGATAAGAGGTGAAGACTATACTTATCCATGGCTATGAGGATAAATGCTTAGATTGTTGTTAGGGATGATGCTGGTTTAGTAAAGTAGTGGTTGTAGATTCTCCTCCAGTATCCATGACTTCACTAGTACTAAGTTAACTAGGCAGATTTCCCTCTTGTCGATTGGGTCTTAAGTCTAATTAAAGAGCTGTTAGTTATCACCAAGGTATATGTGTCACTACTGTATCCTTAGGGTTATCATATCATGCTAGTCATTGATGTGGTTCATAAACATCATAACTGGGTAGATTATTGGTTGCCTCCCTCCTTTGGAAGTTGCCTGGTATAGTACCTTTTTGTCTCATAGAAACAAGTCCTACGGGAATGGGCATTGAGTCAGCTCCAGCTCAGGGATCTTTGGGCCTTGTTCTGAAATGCGTTGTGTCTTAAGCAATAGGGATTAACCTTCTACCTCTGGGTCTCGTTTTGTGACTCTGCCTGGACTGGAATTTGTTATAAAGACCAGACTGGCTTCAAATTCAGTTATCTACCCAGCCCTAACTCCTAAGTGCTGGAATTAAAGGCATGTACCAACCAGGCATAGTGGTGAATGTCTTTGATCCCTGACCTTGGGAAGTAGAGGGTGGTAATTCTGTATTTAACATTTCCCTCATTGAACTCCATTGTAAGACACATAATATAAATGGCTCACATTGTAACTTTAGAAAGTTGAAAATAAGCCAGATATGCCAACATTATGTTTTCTTTTTAGTTTAGTAGTTTGCACCTGCTAAATTCTGTTTTACTAGAGAAACTCTAGGAGGCAAAAAAAAAGGGCTAAAAATGAAGACGGGCGAGTGCTGTTGGGTTCTAAGATGATGTGTGTTGTTTACTTTTTTGAGGCATGGTTTCTCTCTGTACCCCTGGTTGTCATGGAACTCTAGACTAGGCTGGCCATGAACTTGGCAGAGATCCAACTACCTCTACCTCTGGAGTGCTGGGATTAAAGGTGTGTGCCATCATGCCCAGAGGGATATATTGAAGATTGTTTTTTTTGTTTTTTGTTTTTTAGGAGAGGAGTAGATAGGCAAGCAAAAAGACATTAGGCTGCTCAGTCACTGATTGATCTGACTTTATTTGTTTGATATAAATAAAGATTGAACTGTTTTCTCCTTAGTTAGCCAGACATTTCAAAACCAAATTGAACTGAATGCTTTCACCTACTTTTTTACAATTATTTTCTTTCTGCCACCAGCCTTACGGTTTTCATTCTTTCTTTGGGTTTTTCAATTAAGCCTCTTCATTTACCTGGTCATTCTTGATAAGCTTGGATTTTTCTTTGTAGGTTTATAGTGCTACATTCTTCAATGTGTCCACATCTACTTAGGGTTCTTCAGTGCTCGTAAGCTATCCAGCTTTAAAAGGTAGAACCATTTTTAGCTCTTCTGGTATCCAGTCAGTTCGTTAGCTGTATGTTATCCCTTCCTCTAGGGAGAATGGAGAAAGCCCCTCTCCACTCAAATAAGCCTCTGCTGCTGCTGGAGATCTGAGATACCATTTTATTGCTACCCCTTCACAGACAGGACCAGCTCCCCTGAAAGACTCTCCAGGCCTCTTCCAGCTCTCTTAAGGGGCCACTAATGCCAGGATTGTTCCCAGAGCTCACTACTAGCCCTTATTTATACACCAAGCTAGTGTGCTTGTCTTACCTATTGTGTTATTACTGGGTTTAGGTTAAAGCTTGTATTTAGATTCTCTAGTGTGATTATTGTTGTTGTTGTACACTGAATTGCAATTAAGTGTAGTTCAGAACTTACAGGACTCCTTCCCACTTCTCTCCCCCTACTTTCCCTCCTACCACTTTCCCTCCATCTTTTTTTTTTCCTTCTCATAGGTCTCACTATGTTGCCTTGGAGAAAGGGGTGAGGGGAGGAGAGAGAAGTGGGGGAGAGCGTGTGCGCGCACACACAAAGGACTGTAGTGATGAACACTCGTGGAAGGTACACCTGTACAGTTGCAAGCACTCACTACTACAGCATCAATTCAGACTAGGGCTTCATGGAAGGCATTCCAGAGGAAGTAATACATGAACTTTGCACATAGCTTGTCTTTCTCAAATAATCTGACAAGAAGTCTTTTATGTTTGGAACTTATTCCTTGACTATAATTACTGAAATAATTGGGTTAAAATATTTGCTAATTGTCAGCCAGGCGGTGCTGGCGCACACCTTTAATCCCAGCACTCAAGAGATAGAGGCAGAGACAGGTGGATCTCTGTGAGTTCGAGACCAGCCTGATCTACTAAGAGCTAGTTCCAGGACAGCCTCCAAAGCCACAGAGAAACCTTTTCTCGGAAAAAAAAAGATTTGCTAATTGTCTGTTATTTATCTCATTAACTTTGTTCCTTTTCTGTTACTTACCTACTGTGTGTGTGTGTGTGTGTGTGTGTGTGTTCACAGTGCATACACTGTCATTTGCAGATGCACATGACCTTGTGTATTTATGCAGATAGAGACCAGATTTTGACGTTTTGTGTCTTCCTCAGTTGTCCTTCAACCTTATTTTTTGAGACAGGGTCTCTCATTGAACTGGAAGCTCACTGATTTGCCCAGACCAGCTGGCTGATTAGCAAACTCCCAAGTGGTGATATGCACATGCTGACGTGTCCATCTTGAATGTGGGGATGAGAACGTGGGTCTTCATGCATATGTGGGAAAAGCACTTTACTGACTGAGCCGTCTCCCCAGCTGCTTTTTAGCTGAGCAGTTTTGTTTTGTGTTTCTGGGGTTTTGTTTCATTTTGTTTTTTAAACAGGGTTTCTCTGTGATGTAGCTCTGGCTGTCCTAGAACTCCTATGCAGACCAGGTTGGCCTCAAATTCACAAAAATCTGCCTACTTCTGCCTCCTGAGTATTGGGATTAAAGGTGTGTGCCACTAAGCCCAGCTTGAAGTCTGGTTTTATTTGTCTGAAAAAGCACTTATCTGTGTATTACAGATGTGTTAGATTATTTGATATTATTTATAGTTCTTGGACAGTATCTTCTGAATTGTTCTTTTTCTCTGTGTTTTAGTTTGGGTAGTGTTCATTGGTTTAAAGAGCCTTTAGCATTTTAGCTAAGCCATCTGGAAAATATAATCATGCCTTGCGTCTGTTTCTGAGGATTTCTCTTGGCAGTACATTCTTTCTAGCTTTTTTATATTTCTTACAATTTTTGGTTGTTGTTAGGCACAGTGTATTGAACAGAGACTGAAATAAATAGTAGTTATTTCTGGGAATTCTCCTATTATACCTTTAAATATGAGCTCAAGTCACTATCATAGGAATAGAACTGAGTTGAATTTGATGTTTTCATTATCTTTATTCAGCACAGGCTTGTATTTTCTCTGGTGTCTCCATGTGTTTTAGGTGAGCAGTGACAAACCAGAGGGTTTTTCCCAGTAGCCAAACTCCCTGGATTTTTGAAAGCTTGAAACCAAATTCAGGTATTAAATTCTGAAAGTATTAAGAAGCTGTAATCAGCCGGGCGATGGTGGCGCACGCCTTTAATCCCAGCACTCGGGAGGCAGAGGCAGGCGGATCTCTGTGAGTTCGAGGCCAGGCTGGACCGACAGCCTCCAAAACAGAGAAACCCTGTCTTGTAAAAACCAAAAAAAAAAAAAAAAAGAAGAAGAAGAAGCTGTAATCTACAGCTTTGGAAGATATTTACCATGAACCCTGTTGGTGTTGATGATAGCGGGTCAGATAGGGTCAAAATAAAATAGGCTGAATTGCTTCAAAGCAACTAATCTGTGTTAGGTCTGAGTTGGCACTCAGCATGTCCAATCTCCCTGCTGTTCCCAGCCAGGTGGGAATGATGCTGCAGACAGCCCTGACAGCAAGGAAAAGGTCTGGGACAACTGGAGGCTGCTGACAATGGCCGGGATCTTTGACTGCTGGGAACCCCCAGAGGGAGAGCGCCTGTACTCCTACAGCATCATCACTGTGGATTCCTGCAGAGGCTTGAGTGAGATCCACAACAGGCAAGTCACTGCTTTTTCTGGGGAGAAAGTTTGCTTTGATTTTAGAGAGTAGGAAACTAACATGTGCAAATTATGATCAGTTATCCCAAAACATGATATATAGTTCTAAAAATGTTATCATCATGCTTGCAAAATTACACAATAAGTCATTTGGATTTCTGAGATTTTAAAGTATTTTTAGGGATTAATGGTGGTTGCATATGTACTTGGCATGACCATAGACTTACTAAGCCAGTGGTGTATCACTGGAGAGATGGCTCAGTGCATGTAAGGACGCAGCTCACAGCTGTTGTCTGTAACTCCAGTTCCTGGGGATCTACTTCTGATGCCGACCTCTACAAATACCTGCAGCCACATGTATTCCCACATGTACATTCCCATGTGTAGACATACACATCTATATGTAATTATAAATAATAAAAATAAATCTTAAAATAACAATGTTGATTTATTGAAGTTAGAGCATTTGTCTGTTAATACAAATGTTTATACATTTGTCTTCTAAAATTAGCTGTGTTAAACAACCAGTAAAATGTGAGCCTGGTGTTAGTGTTTAGGACTTTGTACTGGCCTGCCTTTGGAGTTCTGACATGATATACCCTCAGCTGCCTCTAACAGCACCACCTGTGCCTGTTCACGATGTTTCCTTTTAAAAGGGGCCTGCCCACCTCCCATCCATCTCTACCCCCTCCCTCCCTTGCTCCCTCCCTCCCTCCCTCCCTCTCCCTTTTCCTCTATGTCTGTTCCCCTCTGTCTCTCTCCCTCCTTCCCTCTCTTTCCTGCTGCCCCCATCCCTAGAGGCCAGGCTCCCCACTTCCCTTTTCCCTTAATAAAAACCTCCTCCATTTGAACTCTGTTGCATGGGGTCTTTCTCTCTTTTTCTCACTTTTTTTAAAATTACAACACCTACTCTATAAAACTGCAAGCTAGCCAGGTGGTGGTGGCACACACCTTTAATCCCAGCACTCAAGAGGCAGATCTATGTGAGTTCAAAGCCAGCCTGGTCTACAAAGTGAGTTCCAGGACAGCTGTTACACAGAGAGACCCTGTCTTGAAAAAAAAAAAAAAAAAACCAGAAAGGTGGGGGGGGGGCAGGCATTGGTGGTTCATGCCTTTAATCCCAGCACTTGGGAGGCAAAGGCAGGCCGATCTCTATGAGTTCGAGGCCAGCCTGGTCTACAGAGGGAGTTCCAGAACAGCCTCCAAAACAATACAGAGAAACCCTGTCTCGAAAAACAAACAACAAACAGCTATGATCTATGATGTATTGTAGTCCAGGAGGTATGAATGCATCCAAATTTCAGAGATTTTAAGGGTGTCTCAAAACTCACTGTATAAATCCAGGTTGGCCTAAAACACTTGGTAATCTTTTTGCTTCCTTCTTCTGAATGCTAGGATTATGTATATATGCCATCTGACTCTTTTTTTTTTTTTTAAGAAATGTTACCTTGCCTGGTGGGTGGTTTTGGTACACGCCTTTAATCCCAGCACTAGGGAGGCAGAGGCAGATGGATCTTTGTGAGTTCTAGGGCAGCCTGTTCCATATAGTGAGTTTCAGGACAACCAGGGCTACACAGAGAAATCCTGTCAAAAAAAAGAAAAGAAAAAAGAAAAAAACAATTCTCATCTGATATGGCAATATTGAGCCTGTAATCCCAACACTCAGTGTAAGGATACGCTAGAGAATCATGAGTTTGAGTTTGAGGCCAGTTTGGGCTACATCAAGAATTTGTTTCAAAAACCAAACAAAAGAAGGGTCTTGCTGTGTTGCTCAGGCTAGCGTGAACTCCTGGGATCAAATGATCCACCCACCTCAGCATCCTGTGTAGCTGTGACTACAGGCTCACTTCAGTGCCTGGCCAGTGCTTTCTTGCTAGAGGTATTTCACAGACGGTATTTGGAGATGGTTGTTGACAGACTTTTCCAGGATCTAATTTCCCTTTAATTCTAGTTCAGGGCACCAAGGAAAGTTCACCAGTTTTCTAGGGGGTGCACTGGCATGCCATGGAATTTCATAAGTGAGTGTTGACTCCAGAGCACTATCAGTGTTTACCAGGGAACACGGGGCCATGTCAGCAGGTGAGGTAAGACTGAGAAGTAGGAGCCCCTGTGATGCCTGCACTATCACCTGACTCGGTTTTTTCTTTCCCCTACCCTCACCTACGTCCATCTGGTCCCTGGCCAGGATGCCTGCCATACTAGATGGAGAAGAGGCAGTTTCCAAATGGCTGGACTTTGGTGAGGTCACCACTCAGGAAGCTCTGAAGTTAATCCATCCCATAGACAATATCACCTTCCATCCAGTTTCTTCAGTGGTGAACAACTCCCGAAACAACACTCCGGAGTGTCTGGCTCCTGCTGACTTGGTGGTGAAGAAGGTAGGTGCTGTGACTAGTCTATTCTGAGATGCCTGTTGTTCAGAGCATTCCTTGCCTTGCCTTTAATGTTTATTTCATTTGGGTTCATGTGATTTGAATTTTAGACAGAGTTTCACTGTGTAGCCCTGGCTGACCTGGAACTTGACTGTGTAGACCAGGCTGGCCTCAAACTCACAGAGATCCATCCGCCTCAGCCTCTTATTGCTGGTATGAAAGGTATGCTCCACCATGCCTGGAATTTTTTCCTATGATTTTTTTTAAAGATTTACTTAATTTTTATTTATGTATATATGTGTTTGTGGATGGCTTTGTGCACAGGAGTATAATGGCTGCAGAATCCAGAAAAGGCTATCTGACCTCTTGGAACTATAGGTATAGATAGTTGTGAGCTGCCTGATACAGGTGTTTGGAAGTGAACCAGGGTCCTCTTGAGAACAGCAAAGTGCTCTTAACTGCTGAGCCATCTCTGCAGCACCCACAGTCAGAACTGGTTTGTTTTGAGACAGGGTCTCACTGTGTATCCCTGGCTAGCCTAGAGCATGCCATGAAGACCAGGCTGGCCTCAAGCCACAGATATCTGCCTGTCTCTGCCTCCCAAGTGCTGAGATTAAAGGCATGTACCAATGTCTCTGGCCAGAATTTTAATTTAAACTATCCAAAGCTCTCATATTCTTGGGAAGATAAACATAGCAGGAATGTTCAGATTCTACTGTAATTTAGCCCCTGTCTTAGGGTTTCTGTTGCTGTGAAGAGACACCATGACCATGGCAACTCTTTTTTTTTTTTTTTTTTTTTTTTTGGTTGTTTAAGACAGGGTTTCTCTGTATTGTTTTGGAGGCTGTCCTGGAACTCGCTCTGTAGGCCAGGCTGGCATTGAACTCACAGAGACACAGAGAGATCTGCCTGCCTCTGCCTCCCGAGTGCTGGGATTAAAGGCGTGTGCCACCAATACCTGGCTCCATGGCAACTCTTATAAGGGAAAACATTTAGTTGGGTGGCTTGCCATTTCAGAGGTTTAGTGAATTATCATCATGGTGGGACATGGCAATATGCAACAGACATGGTAGTGGAGGAGCTGAGAGTTCTACATCTTGCAGGCAGCAGGAAGGGAACTGTCTCACTGGATGTAGTTTGAGCATATATGAGACCCCAAAGCCTGCCTACATGATGACACCCTTCCTCCAACAAGTTCACTCCTCCTAGTAATGCCACTCTCTTTGGGGGCCATTTTCTTTCAAACCAACACAGCTCCTGACACAAAGCTCTTTCAAAGTCATTGCTGCTCAATGATGGAGTGCTTGCTTGTTTACCAGAAGAGGCCGTGGGTTCCAGACAATTACATGCTGGACCCTGTTTAAATGTATAGAATCAATATTCAGGGCAAAAATTTCCATAATGAGCCTAGGACTCAATATCCAGTGTAAATGTGAGGAAGGAGTTTTTAATCTGTTCAGCTATGATTTTTTCTTAATGTGTGTGTTCATATCTCTTTGTATGCAAATGCACACGTATATACACACTCCTGCACAAATATGTGGAGGCCAGAGAACAGTTTCAAATACCATCTTCAGAAACACTGAGTCGACTGGCCTGGAGATCATCAATTAGTCTATACTGACTAGCCAGAGAGCCTGAGGGATCTTTCTGGTCCGTGCATCCCCAGCTCTGGGATTACATATGTGTGCCAGCATGCCTAGCATATTTAGATGGTAAGGGTTGAACTCTGATCCTCACACTTTCAAAACCAGTGCTCTACTGACAGCTGTCTCTCAGGCTCCCAGCTATGATTCCATTGTGTACCTATTTTCACAACTAGAAGCTCTCTCCTTATTCTCTTCCAGAGTATCTGAGAGTGTTCTTGCAGTGCTTTGTAACTTTTCAGCATTTAGCAAGGATCCAGATGATGTGTTTAACAGGCAAATGCCTGCAGTGGGAAGGGAAGTTCCACATCAGAAAGCTGACTCCATCAACACAGGGAAGCATCTCATCTCTCCATGGTGTGGAGGGACCAGGAGCAACATGCTCTCAGAATGCTGGGCTTCTGCATTTCCTCCATAAGTCCTTGTTTTCTTTACTGATGGTCACTGTGTTTTTCTTTCTTTCTTTTTTTTTGTCTAATTTCTCTGAAATATTTTGCAATCCTGACACTGATTTTTTTTTCCTCTAAAATTTTATCTATTGGGTCAGCAAGAGAGCTCAGCAAGTAAAGGCATTTGCTGCCAAGCCAGATGACCTGAGTTCTGTCTCCAGAACACATATGTGATTTCTCAATCCACTCCTGCAAATTATCCTCTGGTTTTTGTATACAAATGGTGGCAAGTGCATATCCATATGTGTTCATACATAATAAATGTAAAAAATTAATATAATTACATAATTCACCTTGGAATGGACAGTATTCTTCCTTCTCTCTCTCTCTCTCTCTCTCTCTCTCTCTCTTTTGTTGTTGTTTTGTTTATTGAGTCAGGGTTTCTCTGTGTAGCCCTGGCTGTCCTAGAACTCACTCTGCAGACCAGACTGGCCTGCCTAGGGTTATAGCTTTGCCCTGCCTTTTATGTGGGTTTTGGGGGTCTATGAATCAGGCTGGTCTTGAATTCAGAGATTCATCTGCCTCTGCATCCCAGGTTCAGTGGTGTTCACCACCACTGCCCGTTACAATACTCTTTCTATCATAGGCTGTACTCTGTGTGTTTGCTCATAGAGAGCCTCTCATTTCAGGGCTGGGTGTGGCACACAGGCAGCAGAGGGAGTAGTGACATCAAGACATACGAGCAGGGAAACAGTTGAGCCTGACTGTGTACAGCCTTTCTTCCAGCATCCCATTCCCAACCATTGAGTCACTGAATTTCCCAGAAGGCACTTCATTCTCTACACATTTGGAAGACTCTGCAGTTCCACCCTGACTCTTGTCCTCTGGTCTTTAAGCCCTCCTCCTGTCAGTGCCCTTTTACTTGCACCCTTGGTAACACTGCAAGTGTAGGTTGGGGGTTGGGCTGCATGCTCCTTCCTAGGTCTGTAGTGTGGTCTCTCCTCTGAAGCTCAGACCTGGATGTTAAGAGATTGCTCTCTCGTAGGAACCCAAGACAAGTGGCAGCAGTCAAAGGATGATGCAATGGCTGGCTACAAAGTCACCCAAAAAAGAAGCGCCTGAATCACCCAAAAAGGATGAGTCAGGTGTACCGCAGTGGTCCAGCCAGTTTCTGCAGAAGAGCTCATTGCCTGCTAAAAGAGGCACCTCCAGCAGCCTCCTGGATCGATGGCTGAAGCAGGAGAAGGAGGAAGAACCCGTGACCAAGCAGCCTCGCAGCTAGTACAGACTCCTACACCCCAGGCCTAAGTCTGACACAGTAAGTTACTGTTGTCACCAGTTGACTGGGATTGTGTCCGTTCACTTGGGAAGGTGGTAGCACAATGTCAGCTGACAGTTGTGGGCCTAGGAGGAACATGGCTACTGTGGGACTGCCTGAGAAGATAAGGCTGGATGCCCTAGCCAGCCCTGTGGGCCCTCTATCCACCCTGGCTCAGCTGGTAGTCTTGTGTCCTGCTGGGAGCTCTCCTGTTAAGGTATTCTTGGAAGGAGACTCTTAATCTCTGGGCTCTCTTAGAATTAAGTTCTTAAAAAATGTATTTTGTCCTAAATAAATTATGTTTGATAAACCTTGTCTGGCAAGAGTCCTGCCCTTAAACAGTTTTCCCTGGTTTGTTTGTTTGTTTTTGTTTTCCAAACAGGGTTTCTCCATGTAGCTTTGTAGACCAGGCTGGTCTCGAACTCAGAGATCCGACTGCTTCTGCCTCCCGATTGCTGGGATTAAAGGCGTGCTCCACTTCCACCACCTGTCTGGTTTTTGTTTTGTTTTGTTTCCCCTGGCTGTTTTGCTTTTAAGAATAGATTTTACTACAAAATGGTGGGCCACTAGGGCCCTCTGAGAGGAAATCCATCAAAGAGTCAGCTTAGCATGGCAGCTTCTTGTTCAAGCTTTCACTATAAATACTTAAGTCCTCTGTGTGTTAATTCAAAACCAGCATAAGGTGCCTGCTGCACTCAACTGAGTGATTTGGGGAGAGCTAGGTTCAGAGGCTTTCAGGACCCTGCCCTTAGCACAGAATGGAGGATCTAGGTGAGCACCTAGATCTGTGCAGATTCCAGCCTCTCAAACTGCAGGAGCCCAGAGCCGGAGTCCACAACTGGAGTGCTGGAGAAGTGGCTCCCACCAACCACCAAGTCAGCCATTTGTTCTGTGGGGTCCCTGGCCTTGCTTGGCACCAAATCACTTTTTCACTCTTGTCTTCTATTGTTAGCAAAAAGTGAAAGTATTTGTCCAGATGCCCAGAAGTTTGTTTAATTGTGTGGGTCCAATTTTAATATAACTTGTCTAAGCGAGAGCAGGTGGGAGTATTCAGTGCCTGTGAGCACTTCCTGTGCCTGCCAGGCAGCTCACCTTATTAATAAGTATAGGGGCAAGTTGCCCCTGCTGCAAGGGCTGGTGTCCGGGCGAGGCCCATCCCAAAGGTCCTAGAGAAGACGGTGCAGAGACCAGGGCAGCCACAGGGAATGGCTCAGAGAAGGACCACTCAGGTATAGATGGGCACTTAGGAACCTGGGCACTGTCTGCCTTTTCAGAGGCAGCTGCAGCTGCCTGGGATCCAGTAATGCTGGCAGTACAGGCTAGGGCCTTATGCAAATAAGAGATCCGGTTTCTGCCAATCCAGAACCAAATGCTGTAGTGCTCCCAGGTGTGCAGGAAGTGGGAGGGGGACCAGCAAGTGTGGGCGGGACCCTTGGGGACAGGGCCAGGTTCCTCCAGGTCCCATTGACCACACCTTCCCAGGCTACCTTTTCCTGGTTTTCCCCTGGAACAAACAGTGGAGGAGGTAGATTGATCCTGGACATCAAGGGTCCAGACACACTGTGCTTCTGCTGTGGCCTCTGGTTTACAGAGTGATCTCATTTCTATAAGTTTCATCTTGTTTAAAATTCAGATAATTTACAAGAACTTTCACTGAATTACATAGTCTATTTGCATCACATAATAAATCTCCTTTGTTTTTATCACTATCTCTTCTTGCTACTTTTGGTTAAATTCCTTGATGTGGCCTTTGAATGCAATGCTTGGGTAACTTTTCGTTCAAGTAGCACTTTCATATAAATACCATTTTATACTGCCCTGGTGGTACCCACCTGTAATCCCAGAACAAGTAGAGGATGGAGGCTACATTTTTATGTCTGAGAACATAGTTTTATTTGTAAACCTCCAGCATCACATTGTTAACTTTCTCTAAGCTATCAGCTTTACTGGACATTGCTAATTGCTCACCAAATTTTCAATTATTTCAAGAAATATATGACCTGTTTTTCCTGCCTTCTTGCCAATGTTTGATCCTGTCTATTGAACTCTGGAGCGTCCTCTCTTAAAAACAAAAAACAAGGCATCTCGTACCACAGCAGACATGTGGAGGTCAGAGGCAAACTGTGGAGTCAGTTCCCTCTTTGTGAGTTCCAGGGTTGGGTCCAGGTTGTAAATCTTATGAAGCACACTCTTTACCCAACTGGGGACATCTTCTGTTGTCCTTTTATTGTTGCTCAAAAAAAAGTCCTTTTGATCCAATTACAGTGTGTAAATCATAGAACATTAGCTGCAAGTCTCTGCCTATTAAGCTGTTCTTTTGCCTGCCCCTCCCTTCCCGTGACTTTTCCAATTGTAGACCAAAAGTCACAGGTAAAGACCCTTTTACTAGTTACCCAGCTCTTTAAAAAGGCTGGAAGGCAAGAGGCGCCCAAGTATTTAATCAGCAATTGCTGTAACTGCCCAGAGTCCCACTGTTGCTTTAATTCTCAGATATTCCATTTTGCAGAGCGAATCCGGGCCTGTTTGAATCAGGCCTGCACGCTCTGCAGCAGACTACAACACTGGAGGCCAGTTTCAGGATGCCCTTCCTCTTTAGGACATTGAGACCAGTCCTGGGATCCAATGGGAAAAGGAAGAAGAGGGGTTCTCTTTTGTTTTTAACTAAACCTCAGACCAAGGAAGCAGACTGCTCTGCCAGGCTTGAATGTGGTATACGGGACCCATGACAGGCATTCCAGCTTTTAACCATGCTCGGGCACAAACCCAGCTATTATCAGGGTACAGAAAACCTATTGGTGCGGAAATCTGGAAGGAGTTAAGACCTTACGCCAGGTGGACCGGGTCCTCAGAACACGTGGAAAACCACTCCTCTCTTTACCTTTCTCTGTGCCAGACATGATTAACTTGGGGGTAAGTCACCCATTTCCTAGCCACTGCCTACAGAGGTACTGGGTACCTCTCTCTGAGTCCAGGACCCTCAGAATCTTCTGCTAAGCAGTGGCTACACCAGGGCAAGCCATCCATTCTGGAGCAGAGACATTCTCTGTTCCCAGGGACTTTTTGTTAGGAGATGTCCTTCCCAAAGGCTACCCCCATCTCACTGCTTGATCCCAAGCAATCTCATGGGACACCTTGTCCTAGTCTTTGGAAATGGGCAACGCCAGATCTAAACCCAATTCTCAGTCACTCCTGGGGTGTCTACTGCAAAATTTATCCAAATTGGGCTATCTCACACCGTATACCTCAAATGCCTGGTTTTCTTTTGCTCTGTGGTCTGGCCTCAGTGCACTCTTGATAACCAGTCAAGATGACCAAGTTTCCCATTAAGCCCATAATGGCTCCCTCTGTTAAGGTATCTCTTTCCTTGCTCTGCTTCTCTGTTCTTCCCCCAACTGGACCTTCCTGATCCCTCATGTTCTCCTCCCGGCTCCCATTCTACATTCCTCTTTCTTCTACCCCCCTCCCCATGCTCCCAATTCACTCAGGAAATCTTGTCCCTTTCCCTTTCTCGGGGCCCATGTATGTCTCTCTTAAGTTCCTCTTTGTTTCCTGGCTTCTCTGGGGTTGTGGATTGTAGGCTGGTCATCCTTTGCTCTATGTCTAATATCCACTTATGAGTGAGTACATACCATGTTTTTCTTTCTGCCAGTGGGTTACCTCCCTCAGGATGCTTGCTTCCAGTTCCATTCAATGTTTTTTTCCACTGAGTAGTACTCCATTGTGTAAATGTACCACATTTTCTGTATCCATTCTTCAGTTGATGGGCATCTAGGTTGCTTCCAGGTTTCTTTTTTTTTTTTTTTCTCAGTATATTTTTTAAGTTAGAAACATGCTTGCTTCACATGTGGATCCCAGCTCCCTCTCCACCCCTCCTCCCCTGCCCCTCCACCAGCCCTCCCAACTTCCAGGTTTCTTTAAGAGGAAAACTCTATCCACTTCCTCTCTCTCTTTCCTGCTGTACCTCTGAAGGGGCAGACAGGACTTTTCCTGTCTCTCTCTTCTTCTCCCCCCCCCCTTTCTAATAAAACTTCTTTCCCTGTAAGCTCTGTCTGCCTGGTGTGTTTGTCCCCTGCCTTGGGATCCGCCCGCAGTCCCCCATTGGCTCCAGTTTCTCACAGGACCTATCTCTTGGTGCTACCACCCACTGCATTCACCTCGCTCTGTACCCACACAACAGCTTCTCTATAGGAATCTCCACAAGCACTTGGGCTGCAAACACTGAGGGTTAGCCCCTCAGCACCCGCCAGCTCCGTGTTCAGGCAACTCCCACCACAGCACATGAGTTTCTTCCCTGTGATCCCTGTGTGTTTTTTTCAGACAGCGGGCTCCCTCTCCCCTGTGGGTTGCAGGCATTCTTTGGACTCCTCCTCACGCTGCTCCACACTAGGTAGCCGCCTTGACACCTGCTCAGGCTTCTATTGTTGCAGCCACCACACTCTCAGCTCATGGCTACATGCTAGCAGCTGCAACTGTCCTCAGTCACGTGTGCACCACCTGTGCTCTCTGCTCAGACATGCTATGCAGTGGCAGCCTCACCTTCCTTTGTCATCATCATCATCAGATTTGATGACACAATTAGGAATTCTTAAAGGGAGGAATGAGTTTTGTGGAGTTTTTTTTTTTTCAAGAGATTTCTCCCACGTTAAAAAATGAGCAACACTCTGTGCCAGCGTGTTGAGCCAGAAGCAGCTGCCGGGATGGGCTGTTTCTCATGATCCGGCGCCACAAGATCACCATCCTCACGGAGGATGCTGCAGCGCATTGTCAAGGGCATCCTCAAGCGCCGCCGGATGAGCAGCGGCTGTACAAGGATGACCAGCTCCCTGACGGAAAAACTCTGGGCGAGTGTGGCTTCACTAGCCTGACAGCAAAGCCGCAGGCCCCAGCCACAGTGGGCCTGGCCTTCCCAGCAGATGATGCCTTTGAAGCCCTGCACATTGAGCCCTTTTCCAGCCCTCCAGGGCTTCCAGATGTGATGAAGCCACAGGATTCTGGAGGCAGTGCCATGAACACACTGTGCAGTGAGGGCCCTGGGCCCACCCCTTTAGATACCTATTTCCTCAATAAAGATTTGGATGCTGAAAAAAATGAGAAACACTATCAATTATAAACATCAGTTTGATAATTCTTGTTTTATCCCTAAAAAACTTGGTTAATATGAGTGCCAAGTTACAGGTCTTAGAAAAAGTTACTAAAGAAAATAATGCCAGCTGGGCGTCGGTGGTGCACGCCTTTAATCCCAGCACTCGGGAGGCAGAGGCAGGCAGATCTCTATGAGTTCGAGGCCAGCCTGGTCTGCAGAGCGAGTTCCAGGACAGCCTCCAAAAAGCAAAAAAAAAAAAAAAGGAAAAGAATGCCATTTTGACTGATAAGTAACAAGCCTTAAGAAATATTCAAACAAGACAGAGGAATTTAAAGGAAAGCAAACCTCACCATTATATTATAAAATTAGAGAGGGACAGCCCATGGTTTGCAAACAAACAACCTTAATTTATCCAGTCACCTTACAGAAACAACTGCCAAATGACAGTTATCCCCAAGGCTGTTAAAATCTGGTTGGATTCCTGTAGAAAGGGTAGATTTGCCAAAACAATACAGAGAAACCCTGTCTCGTAAAAACCAAAAAAAAAAAAAAAAAAAAAAAAGGTAGATTTGAGGAGAAGATTTAAGGAAGTGATAGTCTCATATGGCATGCACTCACTTTTTGTGAAACAAATGTTAAATTCATAGTCAACAAGTAACAGAATTGTCCCACAAGACTGGAAAGATTTGGTTACAGCAGTATTGGAGCCTGGTCCTCAATTACAGTGGAGGACCTGGTAGAAAGATGAGGCTAGGACCATCGAACAAGGAAGTACGGCTAGAGGTATTGAAATTTCCCAAGACCAACTTCCTGGAGAGGGCATTTATGCTGATGCACAAAGACAGTCTCTATATGATGACCATAGCTGGCTCTATGCTGCACAGCAGTTTTGAACTGAGAAGTGAGGAAGTCAGAAAGAGAACTGAGTCATTTACTAAAGTTATACAAGGCACAAAAGAAACCTTCACTGATTTTTGTTTTGCAAAGATTGACTTCAGCTGTAAATAGAATAACACCAAATTCAGAAGCTAGACAAATAATAATTGAATTTTTGACTTTTGAAAATGTTAATTCACAATGAAAAAAAAATAACCAGGCCTTTAAAGGCAAGATCAGCACCCATAGAGGAATGGTTTCCAGATACAGTCAATATTGAGTCTCAAAACCATGATGATGCTTGGATAGGAGAGGCGACTTCCAGGGGCTTGAAGAAAAATCCAAATGTCAGGTGTTTTAATTGTGGCAAATAAGGTCACCTAAAAAGGAATTGTAGAGATGGCATTTCTAGAAACAGTTTCTTCTAAACAGAAGGCCCTTGCCTTCTAGAGTATGCAGAAGGTACAGCAAAGGCTGACATTGTACCAATGAATGTAAATCAACAAGCAACAGATGAGGTAACATTTTGCAGTCCAAAAATGCCTTGGGGGGGCCTCTCACAGGCTCCTATATCAAATTTGGTTCAGTCATTCCCTGTCACTATGGGGTAAACTCCTCCCCAGAACAATTAAAGGACCTAATGTCTATTGTAGAAAACCATACTGCTCTGGATGATAGAACAGCTTTAAAAGATAAAACAAAAACTTCAGGAGAAACCATAAAAACAAATATTTTGGCAAATTTCTATAAATGATTAAAAACCAAAGTTTAAAATATGAATAAATGACATTGTAATTGAAGGTCTTGTAGACACAGGGACACATGTAACAATAATGACATCAGAATCTTGGCATCCAAGTTGGCCTCTTTAGGAGGTGAATACTCATCTTTTAAAGATTGTAACTTTATCTTGGGTAAAACAAAGCATGAGATGGGTGAAATGTATAGAGCCAGAGGACAGAGAAGAAAATTAAAGCCATATATGGCTAACATAGCAATACATTAATGGGGACATGATTTGTTACAGCAATGGAATACCCAGATTAGCCTTCCCCAATCTTAGAAACAAACCATAAACTCACAAATGTTTCTGGGAAAATATTAAAATGTATTATAAAAAACAGTTACTGACCATTCAAGTTGTCCAAGAACAGGGCACAACAGCTGGTGGCCTTTCAAAGGTACCAACACCCCTACCTTTAAAATGGTTAACTGACAGCTGGGTGGTGGTGGTGCCTGCCTTTAATCCCAGCACTCGGAAGGCAGAGACAGGTGGATCTTTGTGAGTTCGAGACCAAGCGTAGTCTACCAAGCGAGTTCCAAGACAGGCCCCACTACCTGCAGGAAGTAACCCAAAGGGTACTCAAAGAAATGAAATTTGTAGAATTTGGAAAATTAAAAAATGTACACCATATCATAGGACATTCAGGATTTCAATGGGCAACTGCCTTGAGTTCTAAAAAGGTTGATTCTGTAATCATACTTTTGTTAAAAGTTATATCCATCATGGGGATACCTGCACAAATTAAGACTGGCAATGCTCCAGCATATGTCTCTAGTAAAATGAAACAGTTTTTTGTGTATTACAATATAAAGCATATTACAGATATACCTCACAATCCTTCAGGGCAAGCAATTACAGAAACATCTAATCAAACTCTAAAAGATATGCTTAAGAAACAGAAATGAGTAATAAAGACCTCTAGAAATAGATTTCATAGTGCTTTATTAACTTTAAAATTTCAGAATGCTGCCGGGCGTTGGTGGCGCACGCCTTTAATCCCAGCACTCGGGAGGCAAAGGCAGGCGGATCTCTGTGAGTTCGAGACCAGCCTGGTCTACAGAGCTAGTTCCAGGACGGCCTCCAAAGCCACAGAGAAACCCTGTCTTGAAAAACCAAAAAAAAAAAATTTCAGAATGCTAATGAGAAGGGAACAATAGCTGTGGACAGAAGTTTCTATCCTGTCTGGTCCTGCAGCCACTTAATCCCAAGTAAACACACAGAGGCTTATATTAATTATTAACTAGCCAATGGCTCAGGCTTCTATTGGCTAGCTCTCTTTTAGGTATTAACCCATTTCTATTAATCTATGTATTTCCACGTGGTCTTGGCTTACCAGAGAACGCCCAGCTATCCTACCTTCCTATTAACTACATGATATCTCCCTGACTCCACCTATTACCTTTCTCTATCCCTGTTTGAATTTCCTGCCTGGCTAAATCCTGCCTGTCCATTGGCTGAAACAGCTTTGTTCATTTATCAATAAGAGAACCATGTATTCATAGCATACAGAAGGACATACCCCATCAAACGGCTGCGGAAAGACATTGGATAATAGAAAAAAAACTATTGAATTAAATTAGACTTATACTTTAAAGATGTGTTGATCTCAAAATGGAAACCAGGATAGGTGTTATATTGGGGAAGGGGTTTTGCTGTTGGTTCCACAGGAGAAGAAAAGCTATGGATTCCATCAAATTGATAAAGATTCGATTTGAACAAGAGATACCTCTTAATTAGAAAAGATGACAGTTCATCAAATAATGTGACTATTCAATTTAAACTGACTTATAACAATAGCAAATGCTTTTCATTTGATCAGATATAACTTGCCAAAAGGGAAACTCCCCAAAGTTATGGTTTGGGCAGGGTTTTGCTTTTGTCTTTCCAGAGAATGAAGGCATACAACTAAGGAATTTGAAGACCACTGAACAAATGAGACATCTGGAGAAAAAAGATGACTCATCCAGAGAACATGTCCCAATAAAAAGAGTAAATTGGCCTATTGGTATATCCCTTCTCCATCAGGATACAATTTCATAAATCTACCCAGATCTGCAGTTCTCTGTAGACACATAATGCAAATCGTCTTGTTGGAGTGCCAGTTCAATTAAGAATTAAAGCTGGCTTTGGAGTTGGAGCATGGCTCTCTCCTTCTCTAAACCCAAGCATGCTTGTTAAAACAAAATCCAAAATCTCTGTATCATGTTTGAAGAGTCACCTGATATGAGATAGAAGAAAAACCAAAATTAGTGACTATTCTATTGCCGATAATCTCATAATTCTTTGGTATTATTGTGACTCTTTAAAACTTTTCTTAAGGTAATTAGGAATTAGGTTTTTGTACTCTGGATGTACATAACAAATTATGGCCCTTTAACTTCTTTTTTTTTAAAGATTTATTTATTTATTACATATACACCAGATTGAATTGTAGATGGTTGTGAGCCACCATGTGGTTGCTGGGAATTGAACTCAAGACCTCTGGAAGAGCAGTCAGTGCTCTTAACCTCTGAGCCATCTCTCCAGCCCCAGTCCTTTAACTTCTTTGAGTTCTGCTGCATAAGACATTTAAAATGTTTATGTTTCTTGCAGGGAACCATGACCATGACTAACAGTGACCTTTGAAGTCTCTAAAAGGAGGATGGGGGTCCACAATGACAATTCCACCAGGATCATCACTAAGCTGAATAACATTACCCAAAGATCGGCTTTGAACTACAAACTGCTCAGGACAATTTCAAGGTGGCTAGCTGAGATGATGCAGGCTCACAGACTGCTCCAACCAGGACTTGAGATAAGTTCTACATTTTCCCATTACACAGAGACTGAACAACAAATGATACAGCTACCTCTTTGTTGACTTCACCTACATGCCCACGCATAAAAAGCTCTGCTGTCTCCTAACCCTTGTTGCCACCTCTACAGGATGGATAGAGGCATTCCCCACTTCCAGGGAAATAGCAGGTGTGGTGGCTCAGGGACCTCTTGAACACATCATCCTTAAGTTTTGTGTGCCACAGACCATCCAAATGGACAACAGCCCAGCGCTCACTTCCAGGGTCACTGAGCTGGTGTTTTAAAGCCCTTAACATCTAGAAACTCCACATCCCATACCACTCACAATCCTTGGGAAAGGCTGAGAGGTCCAGTGAACACATCAAACAACAGCTCCCCAAGCTCTCCACTGAACTCAGGTTATTTCAGCCTCCCTCCTGCCTATCGCCCTTACCTACCTCCAGGCCACCCCACACTCTCCTACAGGCCTAAGCCCTTTTGAGCTCCTTTACAGAAAACTGTTCCTCTTCAACCACCACCTCCAAGTCCAGACCCCTCCACTGGCTGGGTACCTACCCTAACTCTCTCTCTTAATGATCCCTTCTCTGTTCATATGCTGACAGCTATCTCCCTGCCCCTATGCCAATGGACCCAACTGCTCATGAGCCTGCCCCATTCTCTCCAAGGGACAGGGTATTCCTCAATCAGTTATCTCCTTAGTCTCTAGAGCCCAGTGAACAAGACCCTACACTGTGATCCTCACCACCCCTTCAGCTGCCAAGCTTCTGGGACACCAGTGCTGGCACCACTTCTCTAGGCTCAAGTATACAAAGGCGTGGTCATTCCTTCAAAAGAGCACCCCAAAAGGTAACAATCACTTGCTGTAAGCAAAAGATGGTTCAAAGCCTAGGTGCTATCACTCTGTTTTCCAGCCAGATGCAGTGGCTCTGTGGAATTTCTCACTGCAGGTATGCCTCTTGTGGAGATGACTGAGAACCCCTTGCAGCCAGCAGAGAGAAGAGGCGTGCTGCAGGCTGTGTGGCCATGCTCGCAGCAGGTAGCAGAAGCTGGAAGACTGGTGGGGCAAACGTTAGAAAGGCAGTGGAGCATCAAACTGAAGAACAGATCACAAGTGCAGGGCAGTCATGATGGGGCTGAAGAAACCAGGAAAAGGGGTGTCCAGGATCATAAATACAGCATACGCTTGTGTCCTGAGCATCCTACACAGAGACCGTGTCATTGCAGTACAAATACTCAAGACCATAGCCCGAGTTGGTGGCAGTCAACAGCTTATGACTCCTTCAGAACATCACTGTCAGGACTTCTTTTTTTTTCCATTTTGAAATTATGCTCAATGTGCATGCGAGTGCATGTGTGCGTGCGTGTGCGTGCGTGTGTGTGTGTGTGCGTGTGTGTGTGTGTGTGTGTACTGAGACATGCCACAGTGAGCATGTGAAAGGCAACAACCCAAGAGAGATGCTTCACTCCTTCCATGATGCAGATCTGTAGTTGTTTTTATTTTTTTTCCTCTTTAAACTTTTTGGGTGGACCTGCCACCCAGTTCCCAAATGAACACACAGACTTACTCTTTCTTATGAATGCCTGGCCTTAGCTTGGCTTATTTCTAGCCATCTTTTCCTAACCTAAATTATCCCATCTACCTTTTGTTTCTGAGATTTTACCTTTCTCTATTTCTGCATCTCTTTTCTTTCCTTCTTATCTTGTGTCTGACTGTGTGTCTAACCCCTGGATCCTCCTTTCCTTCTTTCTCACTCCTCCATCTTCTCTTTCCAGATTTCTCCTATTTATTCTCTCTGTCTGGCAGCTCCATCTATCCTTTCTTCTGCCCAGCTATTTGTCCATCCAGCTCTTCATTAGACCAATCAGTGTTTTAGGCAGGCAGAGTTAAACAAATGCAACAAAAAAGAATGCAACACATCATTGCATCATTAAACAAATGCACTACAGCATAAGCAATCCTAGCACATCTCAAGATGATATTCCACGACATAGATCCTAGGTATTGGATTTAGGTTTTGCAGCAAGTACTTTTACCCACTGAGCCCCACCTTGCTGGCTGGATTCTTGTCTTTTGGAGAGACTTGAAGAGAAAAATCATAGATCAGGCTGAAAGACCTCAGAGCTTGAGGACTGTGAGACACATTCAGCTCACACTACACACTTAGCCTACAGTGGTTTTGTTTTTGTTTTTGTCTGTTTTTTTAAATGTATATGGGTGTTTTGCCTGCAGGTATGTCTGTGTATTATGTGCATACCTGGTACTTGTGCAGGCCAGAAAAGAGCATTAGGTTCTTTGGAACTAGAGTTACAGATGACTGCCAGCTGCCATCTGAGTGCTGGGAACCAAACCTGGGTCATCTGGAAAAGCAGCCAGTGCTCTTAACCTCTGAGTTATCTTTCCAGCTCCACAAAGTCTTTTTAGATTGGGGTAAAATGTTCATAAGATTTGACATTTGTCCTAATTTGCTTTCTGATGCTGGGATAAATATAATCAGCAATAACTTGGGGATGAAAGGATTTATTTGGCTTATACTTCCATGGCACAGTTCATTTAGGGAAGTCAGGGCAGGCACTCAGGCAGGCAGTGAAGTGGAGGCTAGTAAGACGCTGCTCATAGCTCACCACCCTGCTTGCTCGTTGTCCCAGCTCATGTTATGTTAACTTGACATAAGCTAGAGTCATCAGTGTAGGCAGAGTTTTCCTGTCCCAGCAGGTTTCTCAGATAACCACTCTGAGGTTTACATTAGTTATAAATATTCAGCAAATAGCTCAGGGTTGTTATTAACTAGCTCTTACAGCTTAACCATTTCTATTAATCTATATGCTGCCCCAAGGCTGTGGCTTTTACCTCTATCCCATTTTGTATGTCTGGTTCATTCTATGTTTGGCTAGTGATGCCTCCCTTCCTCAAATAGTCATTCTCAGTTTGGCTGTCCCACCTATACTTTTTGCCTGGGTAGCAGACAATCAGTGTTTTATTAAACCAATTCAAGTGACAGACCACCCCCCCATGCTCCCAGACCCCCAGACTGCTCTGACAGCCTAAGCAGCCACCCTCCTATTTTTTCTCTCCCAATAAGTCTCTAGTGTGAGGCCTGTTCTTCAGTGTCACTTTGGTATTTCTTGGCTCCCAACTGCAGTGATACCTTTCCCTTCTTAGCATGTAACACTTACTTGCATTGGTGTTGTGACTCAGATAGACTCTCCTGGTGCCTGTGCTTCCCCTCAGGGTCTGAGATGCATCAAGCTCTATCCCTCATTTCCAATCCACCCTCAACATCCTTATCTTCCAGCTCACTGATCATTCAGCACCCATCTACCAGAGGCAATTAGGTGAGTGACGAGGGAGTCAATACAATGGAGAAACTAATATATTTATTAACTGGATAAAACTTACACACAAGCTGGGAAGATGAGAAGCATGGCAGGCTTCCAAGAGAGAGTTTTGCTTTTCCTTTTCCTTTTATATCCTTACCTGTCCCGTACCTCTGTCTACGCCCCTTTGGGTGTGGACAGTATTGTGGGCTCATCCCTACAGTTAAGTTTCCCCTTTGGTCAGTGTAAGCACTTCTCTGAGACTGAGGAAAGTTGAGTGTCCAAGCACTCCTCTGGTACTGTTGGAGGTGGAGGTATCCTCTCCACCCGCTGCCACAGTCTTTAAGGCTATAGCTGGCCCTCTTCACCTGACCCTGCCTCCCCCACACTTTGAGCTGTAATCCTGCAGTTTCTTCAGGCCCAACTGGCATATTGTGCCCCTCCCAACTTCCCTTTGGAGCTGCCCACAATCCCACAGTTCCCCTAGGCCTTTATGATTCCATTCCCAACCCACTTGGTCCTTGTTTGGTCCTCCCTGAGTCCTGGGGATGCTCTTGGGGATGCATCTACAGATTGCAGTGATGTTTTTCTTCCCTCTTTCATACATGGCAATGGTGTCTTCCATAGTCTCTCATTCCCCTTTGGGATGCCTTTTAGAAAGCTTCTAGTCTCTACACCTGGCACTTGACCTGAAGGATCCTAAGGCTTTTGCAATTGAATTTGGCCTCAATACATACCCCTTTTAGACAACCAATCCAAATGACCGCCTAATGACATCCTAGATACATTATTATTTAGGATTTTATAGTTATTGCCAGCAACCCCCAAAATGGGAAGAGATTCCTTCCATTCCCTATGTTAAATCTTTTATTTTTCCCCACTCCAAGCCCAATTTGTGTTTGTCTGCTCCCACACACACAGTGTAAATGTCCTATCTTTGAAGTTACAGTTGTTGGATCTGTATGTTTATTACAAAGTGGGAGCCAGAAGTGGCCAGCTGCAGCTTTGTTCTCAGCACACTGGACTCAGGTGTCTTCTAGGTATAAGTCCCATTAGACTGTTGTCCCACTTCAATTAAAACTATAAAAGAATGTTTCTGGGAGAAATATCAAAGGCATTATTAAGGACAGTCACAGGTTGTGCAGGTTGTACAAAAGCAAGGCCACAACAGCAGGTGGTCTTTCAAAGGTTAAATGACAAACCTGTCTGGAAGGAGCATGGCCTTTGACATCAGAAAAATTACAGGCACAGGAACAGCTGGTACAGGAGCTGTACATCTTGAAGAGTCAACCAGTCCTTGACATTCTCCTATATTTGTCATTCAAAAGAAATCTGGAAAATGGAAAATGTTAATGAATTTAAGAGCCATCAATAAGATTCAGTCATTGGGCTTTTTTTTTATTATCATTTTTTATTTTAATTTTAAATAGCTTGTTTTACATGTCAATCCCAGTTCCCTCTCCCTCCCCTCCTCCCGCACTCCCCTTCCCCCCCCCACCCTCCCACCCTATTGCCAAATCCTTCCACATAGGGGATATCTAGAGTCTGTCATTTCACTCTGGGTAGGGTCCAGGCACTCCCCTAAGAGTCCAGGCTGAGAGAGCATCCCTCTTTGTGCTATAGGCACACGATGACTGTTTGTATTCCAGGGATAGGCACTAATCTACAGCTCAGGGCCCCATAGGTTGCCCAGGCCTTCTCGCTGATACTCACATTTGGGGGGGTCCAGATCAGTCCCATGCTGGCCTCCCCACTGTCGCTCTGGGGTCCAAGAGCTCTCTCCTGTTCAGATCAGCTGTCTCTGCTGGTTTTGCCAGCCCATTCTTTGCCAATTTGCTCATCACTCCTCTCTGTCACTGGGTTCCTTGGGTTCAGTTCAGTGATTAATTGTGTGTTTGCCTCTGCTTCCATCAGTCACAGGATGAAGGCTCCAGTCATTGGGCTTTTACACCCTGGAATTCCCTTACCTTCTCTGTTACCTAAAAGATGGTCTATTCTAGTGATTGATTTAAAAGACTGCTTTTTTTACTATACCTTTATAAGACCAGGATAGAGAAAAATTGGCCTTCATGGTTCCTACTTATAATAGTTCTAGGCCTGTTATAAGGTATCAATGGAGCTGAGTTGTGGTGGCACATGTCTTTAATCCCAGCACTTGGGAGGCAAAGGCAGGTGGATCTTTGTGAGTTCAAGGTCAACCTGGTCTACAAAGTGAGTTCCACTCACTTGAAAAACAGAACAACAACAACAAAAAAATATCAATGGAATGTTCTTACCCAAGGGATGTTAAACAGCCTCATCTTGTGTCAATATTATGCATGACAATCATTGGAAATAATTCATAAATAGTTTAATCTATAACATACAGTTATATAGATGATATCTTTCTAGTTGAGTCAGACTCAGATACATTAGAAAAATGTTTGAAGAGGTAAAGAAAAATTTGCCCTCTTGGGGATTATAAACTGCTCCTGGAAAAATACAGAGAGGAGATTCTATTAATTACCTAGGATATAAAGTGGATTTACAAAAGTGTCAACCACAGAAAGTACAAACCAGGAGAGATTACAAACTCTTAATGATTTCAAAAATTGCTGGGAGATATTAACTGGCTAAGGCCCACAATTGGATTGACTCAAGATCTAAGTAATTTATTTCAAACCTTGTAAGATGATAAGGACCTAAATAGGACAAGAAATTTGTCAGCTGGGGCTGAGAGACCATTGGCTTTGGTAGAGGAGAAATTACAAGATGCACATGTCACTTGTCTGGGTCCAGAGCTTGGTTGCATTTGGTTATTTTGCCTTCTACACATTCTTCTATAGAAATTCTTATGCAGAGAGAAGACAATATTTTAGAATGGATATTTTTGCCACACAGACTTAAAAAGTAAAGACCTATTTAGAAAAGTTTTCTGAATTGATTCTGAAAGGAAAATTGAGACTTCATCAATCAACAGAAATAGACCCAGCAGAAATTGTGGTGCCTTTTGCTAATGCTTAAATTTTCTCTTTATGGGCAGAAAATGAACATTGGCAAAGAGCTTGCAGTAATTTCTTGGGAGAGATTAGTGACAAATATCCCCAAAACAAGAGACTTAAGTTTATAAAGAGAACTAATTGAATTCTTACTTAAGTTTATAAAGAGAACTAATTGAATTCTTCCTCACATTGTACAAGGAACACTAGTTCTAGAGTCATTACATTCTATACTGATGCAAATAAATCAGGAAAGGCA